GAATTTTTTATTAAGTTGAAACGCTTTTTTCTATTGTTGCAGATTGTGGAGTTCCTGATTTTGATAATGCATATGTACACATTCCATATCGATTGATAACCGATAACAAGTATGGAAGAGTACATACTGTAGTATGTTCTGAAAACTTTACACATTCCGGAAGTTTTGTCACTCGATGTCTGCCGACAGGAAAGTGGTCGAAAGAATTCCAGTGTTTACCAAGTATATCTATTGATTATTATGTATTTTCATAATATTTTTGTCAGATAAAAATATCATCACTAGCCACCCTGCAATGGTTACAATAGATAAACATTAAACAGATTGAATATGCCAAAGATAATATGTATTTCAATAATTGAGATAGTCAAAACAAAGTCATTTGAATATTTAGTGTTCAAAATGTTCAGTTACTTAAAATGATATGTAATTTCATATACACATATCGTCTTTAACATTATCACTCACACATATACAAATCCGGATATGGTGTACAAATTTTTAGACCTCATGTTTGTGGTATACAATCTTTTCTGCAAGTTTATTGTTTTCTGTTTGGTATTAAATTAATGTTCAGGTCCATTTCGTTAAAACTAGAAATCGATTTATTTGGCAATGCAAATGGCAGTCAGCAGGGTTTAAGAACATCCGTTGTTCGACCTGCTAGTCAAATGCGTTTTGTTAAAATATTCTTTTTCACTTTTTTGGTCTTTTGGAAATGTTGCTTGTGCTGTATTTAGACATCTCTACCAAGAAATTTGTTTTGCATGCACACGTATAAAAATTGCGGTTTTTATCAAACGCAATCGTAGGTTTGAACGTTGTTTTCAATTTAGACTTGTTTATAATTTTTCGTTTGGGCTTGTATTATATTTGCCTTCGGGTTTATATGATCCGTTCATCCTATTTCGACTCTTCAAAATTCAAAAGTCTATCCTAAATTGAGGTAAATCATATGGCCTTCCAAATACCGTTTCGATTCCTAACATCACTGAAGAGACACAAATTGTCGCAATTCGGATATGGTGTACTAATTTTTGCACGTTTTGTTTGCGCTATACCATCTTTTCCGCAAGTTTATTGTTTTCTGTTTGGTATTACATTAATAGTTGAGATTCATTTTGTTTCATCGGGTGATCCGTTTATTTGACAATCGCAAATGGCAGTCAGCAGGGTTTAAGAACATTTGTTGTTCGACCTGCTAGTCAAATGCGTTTTGTTAAAATATACTTTTTCACTTTTTTGATCTTTTAGAAAATGTTGTTTGTGCTGTATTTAGACCCCTCTACCAAGAAATTTGTTTTGCATGCACACGTATAAAAATTGCGGTTTTTATCAAACGCAACCATAAGTTTGAACGTTGTTTTCAATTTAGACTTGTTTATAATTTTTCGTTTGGGCTTGTATTATATTTGCCTTCGGGTTTATATGATCCGTTCATCCTATTTCGACTCTTCAAAATTCAAGAGTCTATCCTAAATTGAGGTAAATCATATGGCCTTCCAAATACCGTTTCGATTCCTAACATCACTGAAGAGACATTAATTGTCGAAATCCGGATATGGTGTACTAATTTTTGCACGTTTTGTTTGCGGTATTCCATCTTTTCCGCAAGTTTATTGTTTTCTGTTTGGTATTACATTAATAGTTAAGATCCATTTTGTTTCATCTGGTGATCCGTTTATTAGGCAATCGCCAATGGCAGTCAGCAGGGTTTAAGAACATCCGTTGTTCGACCTGCTAGTCAAATGCGTTTTGTTTATATATATATATATATAAAACGTCTGCCCTGCAGTGCTTCACATTTGGGTTGTATTACTTTTTATTACAGTCTCTGTTTCTATTTCTTTACCTTACTCATCTCTAAAATAAATCTGTTGAATATACAATTTAAATTGCTTAATTTTTTGAGGGATGTAAAAGTACCAAGCCACGTTCAACTAGTTAACCTTAGTCAAAATTTATTATTATATTTTAACGGCCGTTTGTTTGCGATGTTTAAATACACAGACTCTGTTGCAACTACTCTACCGTTGTCAAATTTGAAATATTTACAAATTTAGATCGTTCAGTGCTGTTTATTTGGAATTCTTATTGACGTAATCGTTCTTGTAACATCATAACTGTCGTCACCTTTAAAGCTTTAGAATTGTGCTAGTTCATATCGCACATTATTATTTTTATTTAAAGCATATATTTGAACTCTCTGTTGTAATTAGTCATATAACCTATGTCGTGTTTAACACATATTTAGAATTGTGCAAGCGTCTTACCTGATGTTCGGTTTGACATTTTTATTGTATAAATTTCAAGATTTGTATAGTTTAATCTAAGTAGACTGATTCATTCAACATCACAATCATATTTACTGATGAAGGATATTTGTTATCCGAAATATTTATAAATAATTACATTTATAGTTCCTTTTTTTGTTATTGGTGTTGTTGTGTACACTTTTAAGGCGTTTATATATATATATATATATAGAAAAAAGTCAAATATAATCCGTATGCTGGTAACATATAAGAAAATTAATATAAGATAATGACGGTTTCAATTCATCACTTTTACTAGCGCTTTCACTGCTTTCACAGATCTTCAGGTAATGTGACTTGTATACATAAATGTTATAAAACAATTGATTGACGTTAACAATAGTATGACGTTAACAAATACAAGGGAGACTACTAATGTCATTTTAAAATTGGAGTAAAGTCTTTAAAATGTTTCGTAAATATTAAAATATTATTTATCATTTAATCCCGGGTTGAGAATGTTTATGAATAATTCTTCTTTCTTCTTCCGGAGAAAATCATTTTGACGATTGACCATATACAACGGAAATATTTTAAATCGTCCATTAGAACAACGATGGAAATGGTCGTTAGCCCTGATGATTGTTAAATCTTCATGGTTGGTTTGCTGTCTATGTACAGTCATTCTAGTCCGCAGTTCTGTTTTTGTCTCTCCAATATAAAATTCCTCACAATTTGAACATATGAGAGAATAAATGACGTTTGAACTTTACAAGACATATTTTGTTTGACTGTGAAATGCTTTCCATTTTTGAAATAAATTGAACTTTCTTCTATTAAATCTGGACATGTCATACATCGTTTATCGGTACATTTTCTAACAATAGGCAAAGTTTCATTAAAGTCGAATTTTGAAGATGTTAAATATCGTTTTAGACTTTTTGACTGTCTTTTACTGTTGATAGTCTTCTTTTTTTGTAATACTTTGTCCATTTTTTCACTTTTGTGTAAATTATTTTCAATTTGTCGCATGAAACTAAATATATCATAATCTCGTGGGTTATATGTTGTGACAAACGGGATAATTTTGTCTAAACTGTTTGATGATTCTTCGGTTGTTTTGAATCGCCGTGATTCTGTAATGATTGGTCCTTTTATCAGTGCCTTTTGAATTCCGTAATCTATCACTTGTTCCGGATATTGCTGCTTTTTTAAATACACTTTTAATTCTTCCAATCCTTTATTGCGTAATAGTTCTGTACTTGTAATGGTAACTATTCTTGACGCTAGATTAAAAGGTATATTTAATTTTACATGTTTTGGATGATTTGAGTAAAAATTTAAATACATATGAGTATCGGTGTCTTTAGAAAAGATATCTGTGACAATTTCATTGTCTTCCGTTATAAGTACTAAAATATCCAAAACGGGATTTTTTTTTACATTTCTGTTAATTGTGAAACGAATATGTGGGTTTAAAAATTTAAATCAGAATGAAAATCTGAGACAGATATATCCGAATTCCAAATTATAAAACAATCGTCAAGAAATCGTTTCCAGTTTTGTCGTAGGTAAATGGCAAAGTCATTTCCGTATTTATGGTCCATTTTTTCGTATAATAATTGTTCCAAATATCCAAGTACTAAAGTGGCGTATGAAGGCGCCATTTTAGTACCCATAGCTGTTCCTTTTTTCTGATGATAGTATGTGCCGTCAAATATATATATATATATATAAACAAGTCTAAATTGAAAACAACGTTCAAACCTATGATAGCGTTGGATAAAAACCACAATTTTTATACGTGTGCATGTAAAGCAAATTTCTTGGTAGAGGGGTATAAATACAGCACAAACAACATTTTCCAAAAGACCAAAAAACATATAACTATTGAAACCAATATAAGCCACACTTGTATTGTGTATATAATATATAAATAACTTGCATTTCTTCACTTGTTTCAATCTAGAACTTTTGATATTAAAATCGTTATTTAAAATGATTTGCCCTTTGAGCACGATATAAAACTATAATGTTTGATTACCATTTGTAGACTGCAAAGAACCACCACAGTTGCTGAATACGGGATCGATGCATCATAATAATAGGAAGTATTCAACATGGTCAACGTATAATTATGACTGTGTTACGGGCTCTGCCATGAAAGGCAATGGTACGATTGTCTGTCAGGATAATGGCGAATGGAGTGGTCCTCTGTTTGAATGCAGTGAGTAAACTCTTAAAAAGTGTGAAACGTATGTCAAGAAGAAAGTAGTATATCTGTTTATGACCGAACGTCGAAGGCTACCAGTTGTATCTCCTTAAACCGTGTATGGACATTCTTTAATGATAGCACTGTCGAATACAGATGATACGTTAATAGTGACGAAGTAAAATGAAACAAAAGTCATTAAATGGTCCGTTAAAATCACGAGGTTGGAAAACTCAAACACAATTTGTTTTCTGCATGATAACACATACAAGATTCTGTCGCTTTGAGGAAAAATATAGAAAACATTACATTACAAAAGTAAAAAATAAAAATAATTCGTGTTCTTCAATATACTTAAGATAAGGACGATGTCTGTGCAGAGTGAACGTGTTACTTCAACTGTTCCTTAAAGAAAAGAAGGCAAAAACTATTTCAAATGAAACACAACCTTGTTAGAACAAGCAAAACATTTGAAAATACACAATGTTTTAATATAGGCAAATTTATCTTAATCAGTAATTATTAAATTTCAGTTTGCCCTCAACCACCAAGGAAACTAAATACCCATTATACTACCTCTGATCAAGATGCCGAATATCGCCATGGAGACGCCTATCGGTATGAATGTATGACCGGATATGCCATGACCGGAAATAGCACAATCACATGTTTACGAAACGGTCAGTGGTCAGAGCCTTCTTTCACTTGTTCAGGTAAAAATAACATCGTTTAAGGAAAGAAACTTAAGAATTGTCCAAGAAATATAAAGCCAAGTATCCAAATTTTATTATGGGTCCCAGAAAGTACCACATTTATACTTACTATATGATGTATCCAGCGAAAAACGTATTACATATTTCTATATTTTTAAAGAGTATACGAAATTCTTGTTAAGATATGCGACACTGAAAATGCAATCTTTACCTACCTCAACTGTATCATAGCTATACTAACTAAACCAACAATATTATCAAGCATGAATAACTACACAACTAGCGTACACCACTGATTGTAATTGGAAGCAAGTGTGTACTATATTTGAAGCATTTTAAATCACCTCGAGTCTAGATAAAATGTATAGATATAGTCCAAGAGGACTATAAAACACCCAAGCGGTAAAACACATTTAGATATATATGCAAAGATAATTATCACAATAATGAAATATGAATAATTACAACTATTTTTTTTTAAATATTCAAGCTTCTCCCTTTTTTGCTATGATTCTGGGGCATTTTGTTGTATCTTAAGGGATTGATTGATTTGTAATTTTATAAACAAGATTTACGTAAAACAGATTTTACATTTTAAAAGTGCTTTCGTTAAGATTGTAAATGTCCATGCAAGTTGCCTGATTTGACAGAGGAAGACATTCAAGAAATGAAGGACAAAATACGAAGAGAGAACCTTATAGACAAAAAGAGCGTCTCGAAATATAGGCGAAAGATAACAAGTGCCCCCGACAATAGATTCTCGGCAAAAGCAATTGGATACGTTGGAGTGGCTTGTTTGACAACTACCGGATTGGTGGTAGTCCTCATTGATGCTGTAAGCCTTGTGAATACTGTGAGCACAGTGTTTCAGAACATCAAAGGATTGTTTATATGACATTTGTAAACTCTTATCATTTACATTTTTTGTTTGTTGACTCCAAACATGGTTACTTCATTTAGGTCGGCATTGATGCAGTATTGTACAAGTTGTAAATACTTTTGATTAGAAGAACTAGAAGTGTTCACAGTTAATGGTTATTTGTTATAGTAAATATATATTGTTTTGAATATTACCTTTAATGTTGTAAAAAACCCCCTAGACATTGTTTGTGTTAAAACGAAAGGCAAGTATTGATATGTAAATTTTACAACTTCTTGTTGTAACAGTGCAATTTAAAATGTTCTGTGTGTGACAGTTTTTGTATTAAGGCGAAAGTGTTATTTTTCTCTTTGTTGTTTAAATTTCCATCATTGTGTCTCTATTGGATAGTTGTCACATTGGAATTCATACCACATCTTCTATTTTTTTAATGAATCGAAAATATACTGTATAATACAGTGAATTTAGAGAAAATAATTGTAGCAATTATATTGTATCAATGATATATCATGAAATGCTGATAACTGGGCTGGTAATAACCTCAAAGAACAAATAAATATGTTTGTCTATCTGATTTAACTGACTCTGTCAATCGAACTGTACAGAGTAATTTCGAAAGCTAAAACGTTTTGAACCTATAACACATTTTTCGCATTTGAGTACGTTTCGTATACCGTATGTTATTGGAGTAACACGACGGGTGTCACATGTGGTGTTGGATCTGCTAATCCTTCCGGAGCACCTAGTCATCCTTTGATTTTGGTGGGATTTATGTTGACTAGGTTTAACTTTTTTATGTTGTGTGTTTTAGACTGATGTTTGTCTTTTGGCAGTTTTTCGTGTTTTGCCATGGCTTTTGTCAATTTTTATTGACGTATAAGTTTAAATATTCTTTTGTTATCTTCCTTCTCTCTTTTTCAAAAAGATATAAAAAACACGTGCAGATTTGTTTAGAGATAAATGGCCTTTGTATCTATGACTTTAAGCAATGACAATGATCAGCAGTACTTTGTATAAGTAAACATGGTGTAAATAATTGAAAGGGATAATCAAAATCATATTTTTGTCAATATCTCACAAACGCTGAATGCTGCGAGAAAATTCATGATAAGGCTATGTTCACAACCTATCAATTTTAAAAATACTTATCTAGTAGATGTATTTGAAATACTCTTAACATTAAAATGTTGTTTATCTTTGAATTTTATAAATAACAAACCCGACATATACAGATAGGATTTTATTAAGATTTAAACTAGATCCGATATTTCAACTGTCAAGTATACACAAGTTTACATTGAAGTACATCTTTGACCAACATCAATTGATTTGTATCTGAAAGACAAGACATACTTGCCTTGCTTTCAACAAATGTTTTTCTGTAGGGTAAGATTTACCTTCTGATTCGTTTTTGCGACGATTACTAAACATTTGATAAATTTGGTAAAATAATAAAACAATGTGGGGAAACTCAAAAAACACATACCCACGGTTTATTCTTAATTTTTACCTCTTTTTAGGTCGCACACAAGGACAAAGACGCAAAGGTGTTTTTTTTTCAAAAACAGACTGTCTAAATAATCGGCAAGTTCTTAAAATCGTTTCTTGATCAACTTTCAACAGGAATTTTAGTATCAAATTTTTCAAGTGTCAAAGATATATATATATATACGTTGGGAACAAAATAAACAAAAATTCGAGGGAATTGTCCTAGAATGACATATATGACTCATATGACAGTTAAGTGGTTTGAAAAGTATAACAGAAACTATTAAGATTTACATGAACACTTATTTCCTTAAATGACAAAAATTATATTAAGATTTAACAAAGATCAAGAATTGGTGATGTTCGTGGCAATTTTCTAATAAAAAACTGTACGTTAAGTATACCTTTTTGAACTGAAAACTACAGTAGGCATCACAAATGTTTGACTAATACTTTAATTGCATCCTAATTGGTGCTTTTGTCGAATTTGTGCTGTTCCCAGTGCAGAATTTTGATTTTGTCATAGCTATACGCAGAAAAAATCTCAAATGCTTAACAGTGTGCAGTGTTATAGTCTGTATATACATTGTAATATCTCTCTGACATGTTATCATGATTTTAAATTGAGTAATTACATGTATTAATAAAGATTATTTTGATTTGACTTTTGTCACTGTCTGAGTTAATCATATCATGTATAATTCGTTCACCTTCCATTTCAGGAAAATAGCAGCTTGTATTTATTGTCTTCTATTAGTAAAGAAATATTTGAATCTAAATTAATGAAAGTACATGTAGATATACGTCAATGAGACGTCAACCGAAACAGCGCAATCAACTGCGACAATTCCTATAGAAAATTATAATACAAAAGTTTTAATGTCTGTATATCAAGCTGTTCAAAGCCCAGAAATGTTGCATGTTAACTAGATTGAGCTCTTACAAACATGTCAAATCCACCACATTCTATATGTGACTGTCCCAAGTAATAAGCCTGCTATTCAGTGGTTGTCGTTGGTTGAGGTCTTTAATTGTTTGTCGTCTATTGTTTTGTCCTAAATCAGGCCGTTGTGTTTTTCGTTTTCAACAATATGTCATTTCGGTGCCTTTTAAAGCTGACTATACAGTATGGGTTTTTCTCATTGTTGAAGGCCGTACGGTGAACCATACTTGCTTAAAACCGCTTCATTTTGGACTGTTGGATGGTAGTATTATTGGCAAACATACCACACCACATTTTATATATAGCTGCCCAAAAACAGTTATAGGACATCATAGCTAATAGAATTGCTGTGCTACCAACTTATTCATTATTTGGATGAATACTTTAAAAAAAACATATAATAACAACACACCAGCAATTGTACAAAGTCACAAAGTTACGTTTTGTCAGTAGACTGTTTTTTTTATGGTTCAAAGATGAAGTTCTCCAATACCTAACAGGAACATTGTAACTTATTATATTTATAATAGGAATCATACTTAATAGGGTATTGAGATTCATAAAAACCCAACAGAAACTAGAACTTGTTCAAATTAATCATTTTGGATTTTTGCAATTGTTTAAAAAAAAAAGCAACCTTTTATTTCTGTTACAATAACCGTCTGTATGACGTAATTGGTAAAACAAATAAATTAGATAAAATACATGGGTTGTATTCACCACATATACCCTTGTTACGTTTCTGATTTTAATTCATATGATCATTGAACGAGTTTTATGATAAGTTGCTTATAGAATTAAGATCTTGATATGTGATTTTGGCATCTTCACTTTGATTGAAGGTATGGATGGTTGAAAAGATAAAGAGTGGCAAAAGATACCAAAGGGAATATTCAAACTCGATAAAAAACTGACAATGTCAATGCAAAAAACCGAAAAACGACGAAAAGACAAACAACAGTACACAAAACAAAACTTAAAAAACTAAAGACTGAGTAATACGAACTCCACCAAAAACCGGGGTCGATCTTAGATGGTCCGGAAGGTGGCACATTTGGCACTCGTCCTATTGCTCATGTAAGTACAAAGCCTGGGATAAGTCTAATTCGAATTTGAAGGTACGTCAATAGCCATTATTTCAGTCAATGGTTGGCTTACAATATCTTATGTTTTTTTTTCAGTCAGCATTGTGTTTAGAACTATAACATACATTACCTACATGTTCTGTTTATCTATGGATTTTGCATTTGCTTCTTTGATTATATTGTTACATGCGTGCTGATATTAATTTTGTGACGAAAAGAAACAAGAAACACGTTAACAAAATACCCCGTAGTAAATTTATAAATATGAAAATATGCATTTATCAACGACGTGTAAACATGATCTAAAAAGTCATCAACGTTTTTACAAAATGATCTTATAATCACAACAATGCTTTTGTAGAAGAATGATGTTATTCTGTATCTGTATGAGTACATTGTGGATACCAACACTGGCTTTAATACAACGCCATCGCAAAATAATTCATCGCAAACATCTTTGCGTTTTTTAAATAATTTAAATACTATCAAAGAAAGTGGGACCGTTCGCAAGAATGACAATACATCGAATGAGAAAAAGCTAAATACATTCGTATTCTCAACAAAACATTTGTCTGAATGGTCTAATCTCACTGAAGGCAAAGCCGTTACAATTGGATGGAATTAGAAAAATGTTCCAAAGTAAAAGCTGTTTTGATACAAATTCCGACAAAATGTCGAAAAAATTCAAACAACTGAATTAAATTTACAAAGAAATAAATTCCTTGCTAATGGCAAGAATAATGTTGATTTTCATTCAGCTATTATAACATATTTAACAGTGAAATGTTCAATGTTATATCTATGGCGGCTTCATTACCTCGTCGTACCGTATTTGTGATAAGTGGAAGAGGTACGTCTTTATGGAGAGGATACGTCGCATTGGCTGTTGTCATTGCAATGATTAATTATTTTATAAAACCAAACGTGTATAGTTCAAAATCGGAATTGTCAAGAAATCACCGTTGGAACAGTTCATGCAGGTAGAGGTCGTCATTCAGTTGAAGATGCTTTAAAACGAAAACAGTAAAAATTGCAAAAGGTAGGCTAGCTCCTCCCAATAGAAATAATGGACAGCCACGTCTGGAATGCAAAAGTTGATATGTGTCACTTGAAAAGATGCCTTTTTGGTATACCATACAGAACAAAAGCCATGTATTGCTTGTTATAATGCTCCGTGGATGTATGGATTAAAAGAGGACAAAAAAAAAATAACAGAAAACAAATTACAAATATGTTGTCAATTCCACTATTAATGAAACTGTTGGTTATTAAGAAACTACAAAGTTAACATTGTTTTAACTCAATTAGGCGTCAAATAAAAGAGCAAACCCAACATTTCAACAGAATAAAGTTGTAGTGGAGTGACAAACACAACATATTTTAAACTTGAATGGACCACCCTACCTGCAGACTAAATCGTGACTTTTTCTTTTTGGGAAATGTTTAAACTTTTATTTTCCCTGGTCGTAGAATTCAAAATTGGTGCACATTCATCTTTTATTTATTTCAAAAAATTACAAAAGGTTTGCGACACAATTAAATTACTCGTCAATATCAATATCAGTAATGTTATAGCATTTAAATGTCATTTATATATAAGTGGGCAAATAACACACCCTTCCTCAAAACAATTTGAACCAAATAAAATCAGTTTATTTTTAAACTACAGTATTCAGTTAATTGAATTGTTGGAAATACTAAGAACTGTCTACCTAAAGAATATATCTGCTAAACTTTATTTGTTAAAACCTTTCGGAATTTGAGTCTTCAGTGCTCTTTAAATTGATTTGGCCTGTTGATTGTTTTTATTCGAGCGTTTTATAGACGAAACGCGCTTCTGGCCTACAAAATTCTAAATTAAACATCTTTGATGAGCTTTTTAATATACTTTTGAAAGAGAATCAGAAATGACATCATCCTTGCT